GAAAGGTGTGAGGGGCGAGGGGCTGAGGTTTAGGGGTCACCGAGACCCAGGGGTACGCTGAGATATAGGAAACGTTAAAATAGGGGGACTATGGGATGCGGGAGGCATTGAGGTACGGGGCAGTAGGGACTGATGGGGCACTGGGATTTGATGCGCTCTAACCTTAGGGGTCCTGGGGTTTGGGGTCAGTGAAGCTTTGGGAACCCCGGAGTAGGGGTTACTGTGGTACACCGCTGAAGGTCCTTGTATCCAAAGCAATTCCATTTTACACCTCTTCACCCAGGGTTCTGTTGCATGTGGTTTGTGCCTTCTGTGACCTGGATTATTTAACTGAGAACAGGAGATCCTCCACATTTTGGACCAATTTAGACATATATTGATTGGCCCTTTGGGTCCTGGCTGATGTGGCTCAGTTGGTTGGAGCGTCCTCCCGTACACCAGAGGTTCTATTGCCGGTCAGGGCACATACCTGGGTTACAGAGGCAACTGATCTCTCTCTCTCTCTCTTTCCCCTCCCCATCTCTCTCTCTGTCTCCCTCTTTTTCTTCCTCTCTCTCTAAACAACAACAAATCAACATATTAACCCTTTGGGCTCTCCAGTTTCAGAGCCTCTAGGCTGAGACTCGGGATGGGAGTGGGGATTGAACGTGGTGCTTGAACTTGGTGACTGAGCTCCCTTGGTGCCAGGCCTGGGGAGAGAACTAAATGCAAATACTGACTTGATTGGGTCAGGGGAGCTGAATTACCTATTCTTCCAGAAGAGAGTGGAATTCCAACCCCTCGACTGGCACTGCCCGTGGGCCTGGCCTTGGGACCTGCCCGGGAGAAGTTAGCACCAGAGGAGCCTCCAGAGAAGAGGGCTGTGCTGATGGGGCCCATGGACCCACCTCAACCTGGCGCACCCCCAAGTTTTCTGCCCCATGGCAAGGTTCCCCTAAGGGGTGAGGAAGGGCTTGCTGCTGATAGGGTTTTGGGCCTTGCACTGTGGGAGGACAGACCTATTACCTGATAAGCATTGGAGGTGGGGCAGATAGGTCCCTAAATAGACAACTGTGTGATTACAGGTGTGAGGCTGAAGTCGAATGGGGGGTGTCTATAGGGATGGAGGGGGGAGCTTGTAAGTCTGAAGTCTGATTCCCCAAAATGTGACTCACCTGCCCTCTCCTGGACAGAAGAGCGGCTGGATGGGCCTCTCAATCTGGCAGGCAGTGGTATCAGCAGTATCAACATGGCCCTAGAGATCAACGGGGTGGTCTACACAGGTACGGGTACTGCATGCTGTCTGCACTGGCATGAGGTCAGGGGTATTTACATTGGCATGGGGATTTTAGACTTTTTCTATTTGCATGAGATTCAGGGATATCCAAACTTGCATGGGTGATATGGGGTTCAGGGGATTGCTACATTGGCATGGGTTAAAGGGTCAGTCTACATGGCCTGGGGGTCAAGGCATGACCTCTCTGGGTACCATGGGTACCATGGGATGTCTGCCTTGTCATGGGCCTATATATCAGTGTAAATATTGTTTACCTGTTCGAGGGTATCTATATTAGCATAGAAATCTCTGACTGACCCAAGGGGTTTGTCCTCATTGGTTTGTGGCAGAGGTATGTGTGTGGTGTTCTAGCAATCAGGTCACTAACTTCTGTTTCCTTCTTGTGTTTCCCTGTCATCCCCTCTTCCTGCTTGTGTTTTCCCTCTACCATCTCCTCACTCCTTTGGCAGGCATCCTCTTTGCCCGCCGCCAGCCTGTGCCAGCTTCCCAGGGCCCAATTAACCCTGTACCCCCAACCCCTACAGGGCCCCCTTCCGGCATCTCACCCTGAGAGCTCCCACTTTGAATTAAGAGTCCTAGCCCATTGCTGGGTGGGGGGAGACACCCCCTCCACCTTGATTCTTCCAGAGGGCCCATTCTAGGATCCAGATCTGGGAGGGGACCCCCCCCCCCCCCACACACACACACATGCCATGTGCACTTGAAGCCAAAGGTTTTCTTTTGATGTTACATCTACCTCATTGTAAAGGGAGGGTACTTCCTCTCTGGCAACTCCAGCAGCATCTACCAAAGAGTCCTGCCCCTAGAAACCCCCATCGTCTCCTCACTTTGTCAATGTCATGTCTAGGACCCTACCTCTTGGAGTCAGACCTGCCTCTTCTCTTCAGGAGCCATATGAAGGGTTGGATTGGGATGTTGTGGAGGAGATGTCCCTCAGGTCACATCTGGATAATAAAGCTGTAGTCCCTCCCTCCCCAGTGCCTCTTCTTGTTTGTATCTGGGGGTTGGAAAAGGAATTGTGTGGTTTACAGGCAGCGTTGGGCCAAGGGAAGAGGGAAGACAGAACAGCAAAGGCCCATGAGAATATAAGAACTGTCTCATGAGTCAGACTGCCTGAGTTCAAATCCTGATTCTGCCACTATAGTACTGAGTGGCCCCATCGTTTGAACCTTATTAGACTCTAAAAGATGATGCTATCTATTGATCTATAGGAATGGACCAACCCTGGAATAATGAGTGTATTTATATGTGTAACTTCGGGGAATGAGGTGGAGAAACCTCTTTGGTCCCTTGAAATTAGAAGAAGAAAAGTAAAGGTGGTCTTGACAAACCGGAGTGGCCGTTGCCTAGGTAACCAGACAGCTTTCGACTCTCTCCACCCGCCCAGCCGGCCGCTTCCGGCACTGAAGGCCTAGGTCGTGACATCACTTCCTGAATGGAGGGGAGCCCGTGCCCTCGGATTGGCTAGCCTTCTCCATTTGGACGGACGTCCCGCCCTCCAGCTGTTCCCGGCTGAGGCGGGGCGGTAGCTATGGCGGCTGTGCCCGATGTGCAGCGGCTACAGGCCCGCGTAGAGGAGCTGGAGCGCTGGGTGTACGGACCGGGTGGGGCGCGCGGCTCGCGGAAGGTGAGCGATTTGGGTGCAGCGGACCCTTTCTGAGGCAGAGACGGGCGGTCTGCTGGCCTGTGCCTCGATGGGTGCGGTTCCAGTCCCGTCGCCCACAGTCCGGCCTTTGAAATAACACAGGTCCGAGACCTCCCGGAGCATTTCGGACCCTCGGGGCTCATGCCCATGCCCATGCCCATGCAGGGAACTGCGGGGCATTGGGCCCGTCTGAAATGGGCTCAGTATGACCCGTGACTAAGACTCCGCTCCTGCCCCGTGAGACGCCTTGACACCCTCGGGAAGCTGCCGTCCACATGGAGGGGTGTCATGAAGCTCTATGTAATTAATTGCTAAATGAATTGTGCAGAAAGAGGTCCATGGGATCAGAGGAGGCAGAGCAGAGTTGCTCAAGGAAGGCTCCGGGGCGCGGGCGGGGCGGAGGGTGGGGTGACAGGTGCGGTCTGAGAGGACGAGGATTAGGAGGGGAAGGGATTGGATACCGGGTTTTCCAATGTGGACTGGCACTTCTTCACACCAGTACCTGAATTTTGACAACGGTGAATTTTACCCCCTTTTTACTATGGGAAGATCTTTTTTTTTTTTTTAATATTTTATTGATTTTGTTACAGAGAGGAAGGGAGAGGGATAGAGAGTTAGAAACGTCGATGAGAGAGAAACATCCATCAGCTGCCTCCTGCACACCCCCTACTGGGAATGTGCTGGCAACCAAGGTACATGCCCTTGACCAGAATCGAACCTGGGACCCTTGAGTCCGCAGGCCGACGCTCTAACCACTGAGCCAAACCAGTTAGGGCAATGGGAAGACCTTTTACTGAAGGTCGAGTGTCAGGGACATCCCGAATTTAAGTGCATCAGAGGAAATGATATCTGTACACTCCTGTGGAAGTAGTTGGTACCAGCAGATTGTGCCCCATTTGAGAACTGACTTCGCAAAAACATTCTCTCCCTTTGGCATCCATGATGCTAACCCTCCTGGTTTTCCTTCTGCAAGAATGGCTGTGCTGCGCAGTTTTATTTGCCTCCCCATATAATTGACCCTTGAATTTTGGGTGAGATCATTCACTGCCATTACCTCTCCATCTATTCCGCCCTTAAATATTGTTTTTTTTTTAAAAAATATATATTTTATTGATTTTTTACAGAGACTTGACCGGAATCGAACCTGGGACCTTTCAGTCCGCAGGCCGACGCTCTATCCACTGAGCCAAACCGGTTTTGGCTGCCCTTAAATATTGGAATTCCTCATCCTCTACCCTTAAAGTCTAGGTAGGTTCAGTCAGAGAGGCAGGATCCAGAGAATATATAGTATATGCCAGTGCCCCATAAACTCTAAAATAGTTCGTTATCTCCCCAATCAAACTAGAAACTCCCCCAAGGAGTACATGATTATCTCCCTGCTCACACTGAGGATTCCTGGCAGGTGGATTAAATATTGGAATTCCTCATCCTCTACCCTTAAAGTCTAGGTAGGTTCAGTCAGAGAGGCAGGATCCAGAGAATATATAGTATATGCCAGTGCCCCATAAACTCTAAAATAGTTCGTTATCTCCCCAATCAAACTAGAAACTCCCCCAAGGAGTACATGATTATCTCCCTGCTCACACTGAGGATTCCTGGCAGGTGGAGCTACATCTCCTTTAATACAAGAAAAAGTGACCAACCTAGATTTCTGGGACAAAGAGGTTTGGGAGTCTGAGGGAATGCGGGTTCTTTACGTCTTCCAAGCCTTGAACCAGGTGGTGTATCTTGGAAGTAACTTTCACTCCCCTTACAGGTGGCTGATGGCCTGGTCAAGGTGCAGGTAGCTTTGGGGAACATCGCGAGTAAGAGAGAGAGAGTGAAGATTCTGTTCAAGAAGAGTAAGTTCCTGTCGGGTGCCTGCCTGCCTTCTTCTTTTCCATGCCTGTACTTCCTGAGGACTGGCCCTGGTCCTGCAGCCCATTAGGTCACTGGAGTTGCCCTTCGGGGATGGAATGTGAAGACGTTTCCCTGCTGAAACGGTGAATTGGGCTGTGCTTTCTATTTTGTAGTAAAACTCCAAGCCCATGACAGTGTCCCAAGTGATGGGATAAGAGCTCTGTCTGAAAGATCCCTTTGGTGAAGTGTGGAGAACAGATATGGGATTATCACAGGCGAGGTTCAGAGGCGGGAAATTAATTAGGCGCTGGAGTCCTAGCCTCGGCTCAGCCAGCAACCTGCCCAGTAATTAGAAATCAGATAGAGCTCTGGTTGTCTTGGTGGCACTGAGGGGCAAGGGGCCTTCCACCCTTGGTGAACATAGGTCGGTGGGAATACTGAGGCCCCAGTGTGCTCCAAGCTCTAAAGTTTGAGGTCAGCCAGCAGGTGATCAGAGGGGCGAGACGGGAAGTATGGATAGGAGCCCTGGTCGAGGCCTGCTAATGGACACTGGAGGCGTCAGCTCCTCACTGAAGGCTCTCCCCAAGGTGGGCCATTCCCCCAGTATCCTTCATAAAACAGACCCTCACTCCCCAACCCTAATCCATTTTCCATCTTGCTACTTTTTTAGTTGAAGACCTGATCAAATACCTGGATCCTGAGTACATTGACCGCATTGCCATACCTGATGCCTCTAAGCTGCAGTTCATCTTAGCAGGTATGCACATGCATCTGGGGATGCGGATTGGCGGGGGGAGCCGGGGGCAGGGAATTTGGGCACAGAGGTAGCCTCCCTGCCAGTCCTAATGGGTAAAGCCCAGGAAAGTGCTGTCTGGAATTTTGGCCATGGTCTGGGCTGAAGCTGAGGTGGTCCGGTGGTTCTCGAGTAGCCCTGGATGTGGTGTACTTCTGAACTAGCTGGAGGCCATGGTGCTAGCCACAATGGGAGTGACTCCAATGTTCTATCAATGGTCTACTTCTAGAATTTTCCTTTAGAACCTTTCTCACTTCTGCTCAAAGAGGAGCTTCTAGGAAAGGGTGGGGGCAGAGAGCATTGCATTTGGGAGAGGAGAATATTGGCATGAGTTTCTACATCTTTTTTTCATATGAGAAAGCTCTGGGATTTCAGAGTTCTAGGCAATGTCTGCTCATCAGTTAGTCAACCACTCCATGAGGCAGGGTTTGCCAAGCACCTATGCTTGTTCATTCATTGAAAAGATTTTTAATAATCATCTACTGCATCAAATTCAGGAAATCTCTTGCACTAACTCTTGAATCCAGCCTCTCCATCCCCCCCTCTGGCTGCTGCCTCAGTGTTCGTCCACTCACACATGACCTGTTACAGTTCCCCAAGTCCTCTTTTGACCCTAGCCTTCCCTTTTTGCATGTGGTCCAGTGTCATCTTTCCCAAACACATTTCCAACGTGCCGCTTTGTCTACTGGGGAACTTCAGTGTCTCTTTCTTTCTCTCCTTGCTAGGATAAAAGTCCTAAATCCTTAGCCTGCCACTCAAAGCCTTCTACAGTTTGCTGGATCTCCCCTCCCATCCAGCTCTGTTTCCTGTGCTCTCCTTTGTCCAGTTCAGCACCTTAAATTCTTTTTCTGCTACTAATTGACAAGCACTCTTGCTTCCAAATGTTTGACCTAACAGTCCTCCCTTCTTCGGTGCCCTTCCCACTCTTTGCAACCATTGAAATCCCCTTCGCAGGGCCATGCTCTCCTTATTGGACTCTTCCGTTACTGCCCCAGTTCTCCAGAGCCACAGAGCAGAACCGGCCTGGCCACGGCCACGTCTCCTCTTTCAGACCTTTCCTTCCCAGGAGCCCTGAGTGTGGGGTCCTAAGTCTGAAGGAATTTGTCTCCTGTGGCCTCAGAGGGGCTCACAGAATTTGTTGAGGCTAGAGGGAGGCCTTCAAGTTAAAAAGTGGAGAAAAGTTGGATTTGGAGAAACTTAGAGGCTCCTTGGGCTCAAGATGGGTCAGACCAGAGGCATTCAGAGGTCTGGGGGCAGAATGGGGGAATGTGCACCTTGAGAAAGGGGCAGTGGGCAGTAGCTCCAAGCTCCAGGACCCAGCCATCTCCCCTGCCAGGATTCAGCCTCTTGCATTGGAGTAGCAGTGCCCAGGCTCACTGCCACTATCTTGTCTGTTTATCCTCAGAGGAGCAGTTTGTCCTCTCCCAGATTGCACTTCTGGAGCAGGTGGAGGCGCTGGTGCCCATGCTGGACAGCGCTCATATCAAAGGTACCTCTCCACTACTCTGCTTGGGGAGGTGGGTGGATGGGTGGGACTTCCCTGTGCCTCAGGTTCCCTGGGCTCAGGCTAGGTCTGCTCCTTGTCTTTGTTTGTTTGTTTTTCCATTTTTAATCCTTATTCAAGGATATGTTTTTTTTAAAATTGATTTCAG